AAATTTTATTTTGCACAATAATTTTACTTATAACACTTACAATTAGAGATATGTAGTTGCTGTTAAATGTTTCCAAAATAAAAGTATTATTAGATGGGTCAGTCATGAAACGTTTAATTGAAGTTTATTTTAGTCTGGTAGTTCGTGGTTGTTTCTTTTAATTTTATAATAGGAAACTTCACTTAATAGCTTATATATCTAAAGAAGATTTAAATATATAAGATATTAGGGGTCTTCAACAGACAGACAGACAGACAGAAATCTATCTATCTATCTATCTATCTATCTATCTATCTATCTATCTATCTATCTATCTATCTATCTATCTATCTATCTATCTATCTATCTATCTATCTATCTATCTATCTATCTATCTATCTATCTATCTATCTATCTAATCTATCTATCTATCTATCTATCTATCTATCTATCTATCTATCTATCTATCTATCTATCTATCTATCTATCTATCTATCTATCTATCTATCTATCTATCTATCTATCTATCTATCTATCTATCTATCTATCTATCTATCTATCTATCTATCTATCTATCTATCTATCTATCTATCTATCTATCTATCTATCTATCTATCTATCTATCTATCTATCTATCTATCTATCTATCTATCTATCTATCTATCTATCTATCTATCTATCTATCTATCTATCTATCTATCTATCTATCTATCTATCTATCTATCTATCTATCTATCTATCTATCTATCTATCTATCTATCTATCTATCTATCTATCTATCTATCTATCTATCTATCTATCTATCTATGAAAACAATGTAGCAGATATTTAAAATAATTTTGCAAGATATACATATAAGAAAATGTTTAATTTAATAAATGAGACAATTATTTACAATTTTCTCATAAATTAAATAAAATTAGAATTAAGTACATACCAGCTATTAGCACTTTATTTTTAGCCATTGGGTAAAAGGGTTTCGATTTTAGTCATTAAAAGAACACGGACGGACCAGCAACACCAATAAACTATGACAAACACAATTCGGAAAGTGAAAAGTTTATTTCGCATCCATTTTATATGCTGGCGAATTTTGGGTTTTTTGCCAACCGAAAAATATCGCCAACTATATATAGCCTATGCTCTAGTTGTGAACATTATGGTGACAATTGTTTATCCAATACATTTGGTAATTGGTCTAATCATGAGTAATACCTTATACGATTTTATCAAAAATCTTGCTATAGCGGTAACAGCTATATTGTGTAGCATTAAAACCATTATCATGTGGTTGAAATTTCAGAATATCAAAGATATTTTGGATATAATAACGAAACAAAATAAACGTATTTTATTGGACAAAAAAGAAACTCGTTACTTTAAATATGAATTTTTGGGGAATTTAGATCGTGTATTCAAAATGTTTATCATCATGTATATAAATGCTGGTGTGTTTGCCGAATTGTCGGTGTTGGGTAATGGAATATTGGGGACATGGCGTTTATTGTATCCCGCATACTTTGTTTTCGATCCATTTTCTAACTCAGCCTTATATTTTGTGGCTCATGTTTATCAATTTATTGGTGCATCATATCTTATAATACAACTTATAGTTATTGATACCTTTGGTACCATGCTTATGGCTTTATTAAGTGGTCAACTGCATACCTTAAATATGAGACTAACTAAACTGGGTAGAGACCCGAACAAGACAAAAAGGGAAAATAACCTGGATTTATTGGACTGTATACAGGATCATAAGGATTTATTGGAGTGAGTAAGAGTGCGACCAAAAAAATTAAAACACAATTTCTTAAATAATTTCCTCCCTTTCATTGCCACAGATATCGTCAAAAACTAGAGGAGGTATTATCATTCTATATATTTGTTCAGATAATCTTTACCAGCATTATCATGTGCTCTTCGGTGGCATTTTTAATACTCTTTACTGCCGATGCCTTTACCTTGATCTATTATACTGTTTATATACTTGCAACGGCCTTGGAATTTATGCCATTGTGTTATTATGGCACTGTTGTTGAAATGGAATTTGAGAATTTAACTTATGCTATATTCTCTTCAAACTGGTTGGAACAGGATAAGGTATTTAAGCAGAATCTAAGAATTTTTGCTGAGACTACGAAAAAACCTTTGCATATTACGGCCTGGCTGTTCTATGTTAATCTGGATTCTTTTCTGTTTACTTGTAAAAATGCTTATTCGATGTTTGCTTTAATAATGAATATGAAGTGAATTTTATTTCAAGTAGAAAAAGTGGTGATTTTAACAAATATTTATTTAGCACAATAATTGTAGTTGAACACTTAAAATTACAGATACATATGTATGTATGTATGTATGTATGTATGTAGTTGTTACTAAATGTTTTTAAAATAAAATTTTAAGTAGAAAGTATAATTATGAGCAGTTTTTCTTGAGATACAAATCAAATGAAAAATTTTCAAATTTTTCAAAGTTTACTAATAGTTTGTAATATTGTTCATACGAACACCTACTTGAA